GTCATGAAAGTATCTTATTTCTCCATGAATTTTGAAAGATAGTTTTGCAGGGTACATCAATCTGGGTTGGAGGCTGTTTTCCTTTAGGGCTTGGAAAACATCACTCCAAGCTCTTTTTGCCTTGAGCAAAGTCTGCTGTGATTCTGATGGGCTTTCCTTTGTGATTTATTTCTTTTCTCTAACTGCTTGTAGAACTTCGTTCTTCTGTTGGGTTTCTGGAATACAATAATTATATGCCTATGTGTAGATTTTTTTTTTTGACCAAGGCTATTTGGAGTCCTATATGCCTCACTTATCTGTATGTCAAGTTCTTTTCCCCTGCTTGGGAAGTTTTCTGCCATTACTTCTGTGAACAATTTTTTTATGTCATCTGCACTCTCTCCTGTTTCTTCAACGTCTCCAATTAGTCTTATGTTATCTTCTTTGCATCATCTAGTAGCTACTGGATTGATTTCTTGTGGTCTCTTACTATTTTAAAGCAATTTTTCTTTTCCTGGTCACTAATTGCAATCTTATCTTCTATATCTGAAATTCTTTCCTCACATTGGCTCATTTTGCTGCATAGACTTTCAGTGGGTTTTAGTCTCCTGGAAATCTGTGTGCATCTGTTTTATGGATTCCATTTGTTTCCTATGTTGGGATTCTAGCATGTTCCTCCCTTCCCCTCTAGATTTATTAATCATGTCTTGCACTATGGGCACAATCTCTGCTGTTATGTGAGAAATTATTTCTTATTTCATTTTTTCCAGATCTTCTTTTGTTGCCAGTTGAAGGAGTCCAGCTGGTTGAGTATCAGAGTGTTCCATCTCCTCTCCCTTTGAGGTTGCCTTAGGTGATTTGGATGTGTGTTCTCATTTTGGCAGGGTAGGGAGGGTACTGTTGGCTCCTGCACGGGTCCCCTCCTCTGTGCTAGGAGCAGTGGCATGTTGACCTGGAAGCCTCCTCCTCTTTGCTGGGTGTGGTTTCACGTTGACCTGGAAGCCTCCTCCTCTGTTGACAAACTATATTTTAAGTGCCTATCATAACATAGACTTGTCCAGAGAAACCCAAATGTTTTTGTATTTATTATACCATTCATCCTGCAAGGTTTGGAGCCTATATAACTTGCAAAGAGATCTATGTGGTCAAAAGGAGCACTAGGCAAACCTGGAACAATCACAATGGTATAGTTGAACTGCTAAATGTGTCAGGGTCTCTTATCTGTCATGGTAGCAGAAGTTCTAATGGAGTCAAAGAAAAGGTGGCACCTGAAAGATCATAAAGGCAGCAACAGTGAGGTTACAAATCACTAACAGCAAGTGACTGGGAACAGCCAAGGAAATAAAATGTTTCTGATGTCAAAATGACAACAATATAAACCCAGAAGAAACTATTGGAAAAGTCAAATCCAACTAATCCAAGCTGAACTTTTACTAATGCTATCAACATTCATAAAGTCATTTACAGAGTTCAAAGTTTAACCTTATGTCTGAAATTCAAGAATAAAGTCAAAGAGAACAATACACTTCCCTTCATCTCTGTGTCAAAATAAGAAACCACCTTCTACCTACCATGTGAAGATTATTTATAAAGTGATTTATATTTAAAAATTAGTTCTGGCTTTTTTGTTAAGGATGTAAAATTAAGTTCAAGTTACCTTATTCACTAATGAGTTTAAGTTAAGAGACTTCTGAGAGATTGTGAAACCCTTCACTTTGGTGTTTTATTTTGTCACCTTTCTTTCCTCTTTAATGTGTTTCCATTGATCTTACCTTTTTCATTTTTTTCATCAGCTGTCAGGCAGCATACTGGGCTGGTCATCAGGATGCCAGGATACTTGTCAGGATCTTGTTCCTTTGAGTCCAATCCCTTGGGTGCTAAAACCTACTCAATCACTCCATTGCCCTTCATGCTGGTAGTTGTCATCTCTCTGACTGACATCCAGGAAAACTGAAGAGCAATTCATATACTAATATATAGTATCTCCAATTAATTGCAGGTTGCTCCCTCTTGGTAACATTGGGGGTGTTTGTTAATGCTTTGAAAACATGCTGCCTGAGTTGCCATCTGGGCAGAGACACAACAAGCTGGCTAGACCGTGCCAAGAAAAAAAATGGTGGCTGCTACAGTGAGCTCCATGTGGAAGACACAAAAGTTTTCTTCACCCTTCTCCCCCTCTTCATTTTTCAAATTCCATACAGAATGTGTGCTATGCAGGTAAGGCATGGTATTGACTACTACCCCAGAACAGTGAAGTAAATGCTTGCTAATATTATAAGTAGACCTGAACTTTCACCCCAACAAACACTTGCTCCACAAAGACTTCTCATCCTGACTTCTCATCTGATTTCAAAAATTAAGCAGAGTCAGGCAGAGATATAACTGAGGAGCCTGTGGACAGTTGCTGCTTTTGTAGAATTGTAGGAGTCTGGTGGTAGGTGTCAACAATACATCAGAATGCACAGTTATAAGCATAGAGCAGCACATGAAAATACTAGATCCATAAGCAATTACCAACCCTCCTTTTAGCCAAAGATTCTGTTTTCCTTCCTCATTAAATCTTTAAAAAGTGCTTGCTTCAGCAGCACAGATACTAAAATTAAATGATCCTTAAATATTTTAATGTAGCTATGGTCAAAAAGTAAGTTACTTATAGAAAAAATAGATGTTTATAAAAGTCTTTGAACAAACTTGGGACTTTCTCCACTGCTAACTCCCAAGTTGGAATTTAAGAGGTCAATGAGTGAGCTGTATCCATCAATCATAGAATAAAAGAGCAGTAAAGAAATTTAAAGTTTAACTTATTAGCAAATTCATTCATTAAAGAGTAAGCAAGGTCATAAAAATTAAGTGAGTTTTTGATCCCTGGTACCAAAAAAAAAAAAATTAAGTGAGTTTTGAAGGGTAGATAGGATGGCAGGTCATAGTTAATAGTAGTGACAGGAAAAGCAGAGCAGATCCTCTAACTCTCAGAACAAGGACTGGTCCTGTATACCAGAGTGAGCACATGGCTGGCTCCAGGACAAACTCAGCCTGTGGCTTACTTCTGTATATCTGCACACTAAAAAGGATTGTGCATTTTTAGGTAGTTGGAAATAAATCAAAAGAATATACTGTGGCACATGAAAATTTCATGCAATTTAAATTTTAGTGTCCATAAATAAAGTTTTATCCAAACATTGCCACACTCTTTGATTTGTTATATCTTTTTTACGTTCATACACAAATACAACAGATTTGAGCAGCTGCCCAAAAACCCATATGTGGACATATTTACCATCTGTCCTTCACTGAAAAGTTTGCCGACCCTTGGTCTAAACAATGCATGAGAACCAGCCTGATTTAGGAGCTCCAGCCTTCCTGTGCATTTTCATAGTTCCAGGCACAAAAACAGAACACAGCTAAAATATTACCCATACTTATCAGCATTAATACAATAGCATCTTTGAATGGAAAAATTAATGTGCACAAAACTACTGTGATCCATAACTAGCCTCTGTAAATGGCACAAGTTACTAATTCCTTATCTTTCGAATGTAGCAATAAGTGATCATTCTTTTCTCTAAGTTTGAACTTTCTCTATAAATTATGATGTTTTTAATTTGAATTAAATGCAATAAGTTTTGTGAAACTGTTTTTATGCATCTTAGCAAATCTAGTTGTCCAATGTATTGCGCAGAACAAACACTAATATTTATTGACCACCTACTAGGTGTCATAGCTTCTAAAAGACAGCTTCTTAGTATCTAATTTAATCCCCAAAGCCAGTCCATGTGGCTGATATTATTATCATAAATCTGAGGCTCAGTGACTTTAAGTAACATATAACTTACTAGTGTACAGCAGAACGGTCTTCCTAACTCAGAGCCAGAATCAAAGTTCTTGCTTTGCTATTACGCATAATGTCTGTCCTGTACTGGATTAAAAATCCCTGATAAAAATGATATAGGACCCAAAATTATATACAGTAATGTTATGCTAGCAACTTCAAAGCGAATGTTAGATCATACTTCTCCAGGGAGTCAGAGGAAACCTCCACTAAAACAGGCTGAGACTAGATTTTGCCTCCAGATAAAATAATCACCAGTATAAAGGCAATCAAAGTACTAAGAATAAAGCGTCATAAAATTCCATATTTTAAATTTAGTAGCCATTATTGACCTTCAATTCCAAGACATACATTTAAAATATGTTGATATTAAAGCCAATGGGGTTGTCATTTGACATTACTGGCCACTCAAAGGTGAAAATGAATCTCTATTGACAGCAATTATTTCTGAATCCTCATAGTCTTGTGTGAAATAAAAGTATTTAAAATTTAAAAGGGGATGATTTCAGAACTTGAGGCAGAAACAGAAATGATTTCAAGCTTTCAAGACACTGGAGCCTTTTTGTAGATTAGGTAATATATTAATATTGCTTCACTAAAGATTTAATAGTACATTTGCCACATTATTAAGTTAACAGGTTGCTGTGTCTGTGATTCATGCCGACAAGAACTTTATTCCTACTAATTCTCATTTAAAATCAGTAACAGAAACTTCCCAGTTGTGCTAGGAGCCTTTTAGTCTTCAAGTTGTTCTGGTGTCAACACTTCTTTAAAAAAAAATACATCATTCATTTCCCTCTAATGGTGAGGTAAGTGCTTAATAATTTTATTAAAGAAGAACAGAACTAGTTAATATTCCCTACGCTGTGGCTATCTGTACTCCACTAAAACAATTCTTGTTTATTAGCTTTAGGATCAAATTTAAATTGAAATATAAATTGTAACCAGGACATGTCTTACGTAGATTTTTTAAAAAATGCTTAGTGAAAAGGTGGTCCTATTCCATGGCTGGCAGTTAACACAGCCAAAGACTCGTTTTACAATTGGTGAACTCTGAAGAACTGTACTGACTCTGTGACTTTGATTCTCCTTACACCCTCCAACATGTACAACTGATTAGACAGAAGGAGTTAATGAAGGTTTCAAATCAGAAGTTATGATCTGGTGTTTGAGCAGGGCTGCTCTCCCAGGATCAGTAAGTGCAAATTCTTGCACTATAAGCAAAACAGTTTGGAAAATCCACTCATAAAGAAAATGCATAGTTGCCCAAAGGAGAGAGAAACCTTCATGCCACTCAATAGCTTTGTGTGTCACCAGGAATTAAAGACACTTATGTGCAGCCAAGCAAGACAGTAAATGCCTGTAATCTCAGTACTATGGGTAGCTGAGGCAGGAGGATCATAATTCGAGCCCAAGTTGGACAACTTAGTGACTCAGCAAGACCCTGGTTCAAAATTTTAAAAATAAAATAAAATAAAAAGGGCTGGAGCTGGAGCTCAGTGTGAAGGCCCTGGAATCCCCAGCAACCCCAACCCCTCAAAAAGATATACTATGAGATATACATTTATGCTAATGTGATGATTTTATCAAAACTCATGAATTAGAAAAGTATAGAGATGCCTCTTTCACAAGACTCAGTGCCTTTCTACCAATGTCATTACCTACTGCAAGGCGTGGCATCATGAGAAGGCTCTATGTTAGCACTAGAGATTTAGTCAGATTTTGGATTTTTTCACAAACGGGGAAAAATTCTCACAATACATTGAGGGTTGGAATGGAGCAGGAGTTTTTTTAAACTTTCTTATCTGCTGCTTGATTATGCAGACTCTTTTCAAGTAGCTCCCTTTGTGATCCACTTGTGCCATACAGTCTACAGAAGGCCACAAACACAGAAAGGTTCTCTCTCTCTTTTCTTCCTGTTATGTGGCTCACATTCGAAGCAAGGCCAAACCAGGGAGCCCAGAAAGACCTAGGACAAGTACTGTGTATAATGTTCCACCTTCTTAGGAAACAAAATAGTATTCCTATTTTACTACCAAACTAGATATTATATAAAAGATCTATTCTGGCCCCCATTTTTCTCCAGCAGGGTGAAAGTAGACATCTTAATATATTTCCATTCTTTATTCTTTAATGTTTGTGAATTTTTGCTGATGTGAAAAGGGATTTGATTTCTTTGTGTTATCCTAAGTACAAAAGACCACCAATACCCTTCACAGGAAAGTTAGGAAGGTAAACTAAAAGGCAAAAGTCCTCCCTAAAGCAGCAGTGTATTGTCAATAAGCTAAACAGGGCTTCTTCTGCTTGAAGACCCTTTATCCACTAGTAATTGTGACCTTGAAGAACTGGGGAACATCCTGATCTCTGTCACACAGTACACACAAGGGACAGGACATCTGACAGCATGCACTGTCTTCAGAATTGAACCATTGTCTTTAACTGTGTGGCTGCTTCCTCTGTTGAATGCAGATTCCATCAGGATATTACCTGCAGACCGTGCATTCCAACCTCAGTTTGGATGGGCTGCTTCTGCCAATTGCAGTAATGAATGCCATCAGCACCCTGCCATTATTAATTCTGGTTCCTTTTATGGAGTGCTTCAGCACCTGTCTATTTTCCTGTAATAGAGACGGCCCATTTCTGCCAGCATGTATTAGTAAGTACAACTTGAATTGCTTGCAACTTTTTCTAAAAATAAATAAATAAATAAATAAATATAAATAACACCTGGCTAAGATCTAAGTAGGGTCAGACTTTCCACATATTGGCTAGAAGGTGAATTTATGAGTGATAACATCCAGCTCCCCAAATCTCTACCCAGACATCAGGATCTCATCTTCCAAAAAGCCTTTTATGCCTCTTCAGAAGTCATATCTAATATAAAGAGATGGCAAAATTTCCAGCACCATTAAATGGTCTATACTTCAGTACAGCAATGCTTGCTCCCACATCAATGCTGAATATGTCCTTTAAAATGAACACAAGCCAGGCATGGTGGTGCAAACCTGCAATCCCAGTAATCTGGGAGGCTGTGGCAGGGGGATTGCAAATTCAGGCTCAATCCGGGCAACTCAGCATTTTAGCAAGAATCTGTCTCAAAGATTTAAAAAGCTCCGGGGGAAGGGTGGAATTGTAGCTCACTGTGAATGTGCTAGGTTTATTCTCAGAACCGGAAAAAATGAACACAAAGAATAAATCCCCAAATACAATTTTAATTTCTGAACCAGTAGAAAAATTTAAAAATAGTATTATGAAGCTCCAGATATACCTTAGTGGTAAAGCATTTGCCTAGTATCCATGTTGTCCTGGGTTCAATTTTTAGCATCCCCTGCAGACATCGTAATTCACAGCTTCAATATGGTACTTCGTCCAAATTACAAAGTTTACAATGATGATTTTTCAAACATTTTAAAAACTGAAACAATTTATGATGTCTTCTTTAGGACATAATCAATAAACCATAAAATAAAATGTCTCTAACTGAAATGGTAGATCACACTGTCCTCTGCCTGGCTGTCCTCTCTGAGACACCATCATGGAAGAAGAGGACAAAGAGTACAGAAAAACCAGAACCAGGGACTTAGGTCTTGGACCCTGCTTTGCTACTGAATGTTATTGGGTCACTTTGAAGAGAAAAAAAAACACTTAATCTCTCCTGTCTTTAGTTTACTTATTTTTCTTCCTCTGAAGACCATAACCTAGATAAATCTTTTATCTTCTTATTGTGCAAGACTTTTGAAAGCACTTAGGTTGACATCAGAGTCCAGAACATAGTCTTGTCCCTAGTGAAAGCTCTATAAATGCTACCCATTGTTATGAGTCATCATTTTTAGGGCACATACCTAATTGTTTGTTGAGCATAAGCAGAAAACAAAGTCAGTTTGAAACTTAGAAAACATCATGCAATCATAGCCTAAAATCTTGTCGTCCAACTGAGAAATAATTCCATTGAAACAGGCAAGATCAGGCATGTAGAAGAGTCTCTTCTGATTATCTTGTTCTACTCCCTTCTTTTTAAATACCATCTGCATGGAGACACTATGTAAGCCTCTAGTTACACATACTTCTTGCCACTTTTGGATTAGAGAAGTTTAATATATGCTTTCTGGTATTTATCAATGCCATCAATAAAATTATTCCAGATCACACCACAAATGGGTTTTTGGGGGGACTAGAACTCAAAGTGCCTAATTCACTTACTTTATTTCATTGTTTTCAATTATAGAGGCCTGTATTATATAACTTTTAAAATTTATTTCAAATCCAGTAACCTCATCTTGTAAAAAGGATTAGCAAACTATAAATCCTAAGAGGTTTTGACAATCCCTAAATTTTAAAAAGTGCTCTTTTGCCTGATCACGTAGAAATTTAAAAAGTCAATATGTATTTAGTGCAAACCTGATATTGTCTTGGGTGCTTTGAAGTAAAACATATGTATATATCCTCAGTTAACTCACTATTAAAACAAAGTGAATGTAGGACAAAATGGGGATATATTTCTTTTGCAAACTGAAAAATCTTCACAGTCTTGTACAATGCCATGAAATATCTCAAACTGAACTTCCAAATTATGATAACTACTAAAAATTTAAATATCTGGGGCTGGGGATTTAGCTCAGTGGTTCTGCCACCTGCCTCGCAAGCAGAAGTTCCCAAGTTCAATCCCCAGTACAAAAAAAAAATCTGGAGACTTTAGGAAAATATACTATACAACATAATTCTAAGAACTGGAATAGAAATCCTTCATGAAAATAAGAAGTTCTAAATTCATTTTAAATTTGAGCAACTTTCTATTAGACAGTTTTCCTCTTCTCATATTTAAAATCATACCTATTCTTAAAGAAGGGTATGTTTTTTTGCCAGATAGGGTTAGACAGAATTAGTTAGTATACTGTTTGATGCTGATGAACTAAATATTCCCCTTTAAAGTTCGTTAACAAGACCTGTTGCACAGAAAAAAAATTAATTAGATTCACTTCAAAAGAAATTAATCTATATTCCACTGGGTGCAAAACTCTGAATTCAGTTGTTTCTAGACCATACTCCATTCATTCATTCACTTGCATAATATTTTGCTATGGGAATATGAAAGTACAATGATATACACCTTTTAAGATAGGTATTTGTTTAAGTCTTCCATATTCTGGTTATGATTATGGAGGATTAACAAGTTTTATCTGGATATGAAACTACAAACCTAGGGTAATTTTTGATACTAATTTACATAATAGAATGAGTCTAATATTAAAATTTCCTTTCACTTTTAAAGGAGGGAAAGGGAAAATTATGAGAAAAGAAAAAAATGGAAACAAAGTCTAAGTAAATAGGGAAGGGTGGAGGGGGTGAAGGGAGCACAGGGAATGGGGAAAAAATAAGAACCAAGATACATCATGCACAGGTACAAACACCCAATGATAAATGTAAACGTGTTGTACACCTAAAATGTACCAATAAAAGAATTTAAGGAAAAAATTTCCTTTCACTTTTATTTTATTTTTTTTGTATCAAATTCTTTTATTGGTACATTGTAGGTATACAACACAATTACATTTCTCATTGGGAATTGTACCTTTACATAATGCATCTTGGTTCTTATTTTTTCCCCATTCCTAGCCCTCCCTTCACGCCCTCCACCCTTCCCTATTTACAAAGACTTTATTTCCATTTTTTCCATTTCTCATCATTTTGTCCTTTCCCTTCTTTCCTTTCCCCTGCGCCTCCCACTACCCCTACCCCTTTGGACCTTTTCTTCCTATTTTCCATTATCGATTATTCATTCTAATCATGGGTACATTTTAGGTATACAATATAATGACATTCATCATTGGAAATTTGCACCTTTACATAGTCTCTCTTGGTTCTTATTTTTCACCCTTGCCCAGCCCTCCCTTCAACCCCTCCATTCCTCCCTATTTACAAAGATTTTGTTCCTATTTTTCCATTTTCTCATATTAATCCCATTCCCTTCTATCCTTTCCCCTAGCCCTCCCACTTCCTTCCCCTTTGCCCCTTTTCTTCCTATTTCACATTACCTATTATACATTTAGTCCTTATTTATACTTTCAGTTTCTCACACCAGAGAAACTATTTGGTATTTACACATGTGTGTCCTATTTATTTCACTTAAGAGTATTGCCTCAACGTGCATCCACTTAGCTATAAATGTCTCTAATTTCTCATTTTTTATGGCTGAGTAGTACTCCATTTTATTAAAAAACCACGTTTTCTTTATCCAGTCTCCAGTTGATGGGCATTTGGGCTGTTTCCAAGTTTTAGCTATTGCAAACTGCGCTGCTATGAACATGGGTGCACATATATCACTGTGGTATGATTCTTTTAATTCTATGGGGAAGATCCCCAGCAGTGGAATAGTGGGGTCAAATGGGACTTCCAGTCCTAGTTCTTTGAGGTATCTCCATACTGATTTCCACAGTGGTTGCACCAGCCTACACTCCCACCAACAGTGGAGCAGGGTTCCTCTTTCCCCACAGCCCCACCAGCATTTGTTATTGGTTGATTTCATGATAGCAGCCATTCTTTCTGGAGTGAAGTAGAATCTCAGCATTGTTTTCATTTGCATCTCTTAAATGACCAGTGATGTTGAGCATTTTTTCATGTATTTATTTGCTATTTCTACTTCTTTGTCTGAGAAATGTCTGTTCATTTCAGATGCCCATTTTTGGATTGGGTCTTTAAATTTGGGAGGTCTGATGTTTTTAAGTTCTTTATAAATTCAGACCTTTGTCTGAGGAAGAACAGGTGAAGATTTTTTCCCACATTGTGGATTGTCTCTTCACACTGCTGGTGGTTTCTCTTGCTGTGCAGAAGCTTTTGAATAAGAAGAGATCCCATTTGTTGATTGTTTGTGCTAGTTCATGGGCAACTGAGGTTTTGTTCATAAAATCTTTTCCTACACCGATGTCTTCAAGGGTTCTACCTAACCTCTGTTCCAACTGGTTCAGAGTTTCTATTTTAATATTTAGATCTTTAATCCATTTTGATTTTAGTTTAGTGCATGGTGAGAGATATAGGTCTAGTTTTAATCTTTTGCAAGTTGAAACCCAATTTTTCCAGCACCATTTATTAAAGAGGCTATCTTTCCTCCAGTGAGGGTGTTTGGCCGCTTTGTCAATGATGAGGTGGCTGAGGGTGTCTGGAGTTGTTTCTGCATCTTCCAATCTGTTCCACTGGTCCTCAGGTCTGTTTCTTTGCCAATACCATGCTGTTTTTATCACAGTAGCTTTGTAGTATAGTTTCAAATTGGGAGTTGTGATACCCCCTGCCATGTCTCTGTTACCTAGAATTGCTTTTGCTATTCTGGGCCTCTTCTTGCTCCCAATGAATTTTTGGATTGTTTTCTCAAGGTCTGTGAAGTATGGTGCTGGGATCTCAATTGGAATAGCATTAAATCTATATAGCAGTTTTGGAAGTATGTCCATTTTCACTATATTAATCCTTCCTACCCAGGAGCAGGGGATGTCTGTCCATTTTCTGATATCATCTTCAATCTTTCTTTTCAGAGTGCCATAGTTTTCAGAGAAGAGGTCTTTGATTTCTTTCATTAGGATGATTCCCAGGTATTTCAGTTTTTTGGATGCTATTGTGAATTCCTTTCACTTTTAACCCAAGTGTCTGAAAATTTGGGTGAAGTATGTA